TCTGACTATTCTCCTCATCTTTGTTGTTATTATCACCTAATCGGCTTCTGTCTGAATTTTTGAGACGTGCAGTTATCATTATTTACGTTCTGACTATTCTCCTCATCTTTGTTGTTATTATCACCTAATCGGCTTCTGTCTGAATTTTTGAGACGTGCAGTTATCATTATTTACGTTCTGACTATTCTCCTCATCTTTGTTGTTATTATCACCTAATCGGCTTCTGTCTGAATTTCTGAGACGTGCAGTTATCATTATTTACGTTCTGACTATTCTCCTCATCTTTGTTGTTATTATCACCTAATCGGCTTCTGTCTGAATTTTTGAGACGTGCAGTTATCATTATTTACGTTCTGACTATTCTCCTCATCTTTTGTTGTTATTATCACCTAATCGGCTTCTGTCTGAATTTTTGAGACGTGCAGTTATCATTATTTACGTTCTGACTATTCTCCTCATCTTTGTTGTTATTATCACCTAATCGGCTTCTGTCTGAATTTTTGAGACGTGCAGTTATCATTATTTACGTTCTGACTATTCTCCTCATCTTTGTTGTTATTATCACCTAATCGGCTTCTGTCTGAATTTTTTGAGACGTGCAGTTATCATTATTTACGTTCTGACTATTCTCCTCATCTTTGTTGTTATTATCACCTAATCGGCTTCTGTCTGAATTTCTGAGACGTGCAGTTATCGTTATTTACGTTCTGACTATTCTCCTCATCTTTGTTGTTATTATCACCTAATCGGCTTCTGTCTAAATTTCTGAGACGTGCAGTTATCATTATTTACGTTCTGACTATTCTCCTCATCTTTGTTGTTATTATCACCTAATCGGCTTCTGTCTGAATTTTTGAGACGTGCAGTTATCATTATTTACGTTCTGACTATTCTCCTCATCTTTGTTGTTATTATCACCTAATCGGCTTCTGTCTGAATTTCTGATACGTGCAGTTATCATTATTTACGTTCTGACTATTCTCCTCATCTTTGTTGTTATTATCACCTAATCGGCTTCTGTCTAAATTTCTGAGACGTGCAGTTATCATTATTTATGTTCTGACTATTCTCCTCATCTTTGTTGTTATTATCACCTAATCGGCTTCTGTCTGAATTTCTGAGACGTGCAGTTATCATTATTTACGTTCTGACTATTCTCCTCATCTTTGTTGTTATTATCACCTAATCGGCTTCTGTCTGAATTTCTGAGAGGTGCAGTTATCATTATTTACGTTCTGACTATTCTCTTCATCTTTGTTGTTATTATCACCTAATCGGCTTCTGTCTGAATTTTTGAGACGTGCAGTTATCATTATTTATGTTCTGACTATTCTCCTCATCTTTGTTGTTATTATCACCTAATCGGCAGTTATCATTATTTACGTTCAACTATTCTCCTCATCTTTGTTATTCTGTCTGAATTTCTGAGACGTGCAGTTATCATTATTTACGTTCAGACTATTCTCCTCATCTTTGTTGTTATTATCACCTAATCGGCTTCTGTCTAAATTTCTGAGACGTGCAGTTATCATTATTTACGTTCTGACTATTCTCCTCATCTTTGTTGTTATTATCACCTAATCGGCTTCTGTCTGAATTTTTGAGACGTGCAGTTATCATTATTTACGTTCTGACTATTCTCCTCATCTTTGTTGTTATTATCACCTAATCGGCTTCAGTCTGAATTTCTGAGACATGCAGTTATCATTATTTACGTTCTGACTATTCTCCTCACCTTGTTTGTTATTATCACCTAATCGGCTTCTGTCTGAATTTTTGAGACGTGCAGTTATCATTATTTACGTTCTGACTATTCTCCTCATCCTTGTTGTTATTATCACCTAATCGGCTTCTGTCTGAATTTCTGAGACGTGCAGTTATCATTATTTACGTTCAGACTATTCTCTTCATCTTTGTTGTTATTATCACCTAATCGGCTTCTGTCTAAATTTCTGAGACGTGCAGTTATCATTATTTACGTTCTGACTATTCTCCTCATCTTTGTTGTTATTATCACCTAATCGGCTTCTGTCTGAATTTTTTGAGACGTGCAGTTATCATTATTTACGTTCTGACTATTCTCCTCATCTTTGTTGTTATTATCACCTAATCGGCTTCTGTCTGAATTTCTGAGACGTGCAGTTATCATTATTTACGTTCTGACTATTCTCTTCATCTTTGTTGTTATTATCACCTAATCGGCTTCTGTCTGAATTTTGAGACGTGCAGTTATCATTATTTACGTTCTGACTATTCTCCTCATCTTTGTTGTTATTATCACCTAATCGGCTTCTGTCTGAATTTTTGAGACGTGCAGTTATCATTATTTACGTTCTGACTATTCTCCTCATCTTTGTTGTTATTATCACCTAATCGGCTTCTGTCTGAATTTCTGAGACGTGCAGTTATCATTATTTACGTTCTGACTATTCTCCTCATCTTTGTTGTTATTATCACCTAATCGGCTTCAGTCTGAATTTCTGAGACATGCAGTTATCATTATTTACGTTCTGACTATTCTCCTCATCTTTGTTGTTATTATCACCTAATCGGCTTCTGTCTGAATTTTTGAGACGTGCAGTTATCATTATTTACGTTCTGACTATTCTCCTCATCTTGTTGTTATTATCACCTAATCGGCTTCTGTCTGAATTTCTGAGACGTGCAGTTATCATTATTTACGTTCTGACTATTCTCTTCGTCTTTGTTGTTCTGTCTGATTTTTGATCACCTAATCTTTGGCTTCTTCTGTCTGAATTTTTTGAGACGTGCAATTATCATTATTTATGTTACTATTCTCCTCATCTTTGTTGTTATTATCACCTAATCGGCTTCTGTCTGAATTTTTGAGACGTGTTTATCTTATTTACGACTATTCTCCTCATCTTTGTTGTTATTATCACCTATCACCTAATCGGCTTCTGTCTGAATTTTTTGAGACGTGCAGTTATCATTATTTACGTTCTGACTATTTATCCTCATTCTTTTCTTGTTATTATCACCTAATCGGCTTCTGTCTGAATTTTGAGACGTTTATCATTATTTACGTTCTGACTATTCTCCTCATCTTTGTTGTTATTATCACCTAATCGGCTTCTGTCTGAATTTTTGAGACGTTTATCATTATTTACGTTCTGACTATTCTCCTCATCTTTGTTGTTATTATCACCTAATCGGCTTCTGTCTGAATTTTTTTTGAGACGTGCAGTTATCATTATTTACGTTCTGACTATTCTCCTCATCTTTGTTGTTATTATCACCTAATCGGCTTCTGTCTGAATTTTGAGACGTGCAGTTATCATTATTTACGTTCTGACTATTCTCCTCATCTTTGTTGTTATTATCACCTAATCGGCTTCTGTCTGAATTTTTTGAGACGTGCAGTTATCATTATTTACGTTCTGACTATTCTCCTCATCTTTGTTGTTATTATCACCTAATCGGCTTCTGTCTGAATTTTGAGACGTGCAGTTATCATTATTTACGTTCTGACTATTCTCCTCATCTTTGTTGTTATTATCACCTAATCGGCTTCTGTCTGAATTTTTCTGAGACGTGCAGTTATCATTATTTACGTTCTGACTATTCTCCTCATCTTTGTTGTTATTATCACCTAATCGGCTTCTGTCTGAATTTTTGAGACGTGCAGTTATCATTATTTACGTTCTGACTATTCTCCTCATCTTTGTTGTTATTATCACCTAATCGGCTTCTGTCTGAATTTTTGAGACTTTATCATTATTTACGTTCTGACTATTCTCCTCATCTTTGTTGTTATTATCACCTAATCGGCTTCTGTCTGAATTTTTGAGACGTGCAGTTATCATTATTTACGTTCTGACTATTCTCCTCATCTTTGTTGTTATTATCACCTAATCGGCTTCTGTCTGAATTTCTGAGACGTGCAGTTATCATTATTTACGTTCTGACTATTCTCCTCATCTTTGTTGTTATTATCACCTAATCGGCTTCTGTCTGAATTTCTGAGACGTGCAGTTATCATTATTTACATTCTGACTATTCTCCTCATCTTTGTTGTTATTATCACCTAATCGGCTTCTGTCTGAATTTTTGAGACGTGCAGTTATCATTATTTACGTTTTGAATTTCTGAGACTATTCTCCTCATCTTTGTTGTTATTATCACCTAATCGGCTTCTGTCTGAATTTCTGAGACGTTTATCATTATTTACGTTCTGACTATTCTCCTCATCTTTGTTGTTATTATCACCTAATCGGCTTCTGTCTGAATTTCTGAGACGTGCAGTTATCATTATTTACGTTCTGACTATTCTCCTCATCTTTGTTGTTATTATCACCTAATCGGCTTCTGTCTGAATTTTTGAGACGTGCAGTCATCATTATTTACGTTCTGACTATTCTCTTCATCTTTGTTGTTATTATCACCTAATCGTCTGAATTTCTGAGACGTGGTGTTATCATTATTTACGTTCTAACTAGTGTCTCCATATTTGTTGTCCTCACAACGTTGAACCCTTCCCCTGTCATTAGGTGTATATCGATCTATGTAACCTCTAGTGAATTCCGAACTGAACCTTTTGTTTATTATTCGGAGCTAGACTGTTTTCGTTACAATGCCTACGTCCTACTCGTCAATGGCTATGTTGATGAAAGCGTTGGTTTTTGAATTTGGCGACATTGTAATTGTGAGTTCAATCTCTGGACCGGGCAGTGTGTACTTGAACTCAGTGGAAAAGGGATGGACAATACTAAAAATACGTTGAAACACCGGTTAAGCACCCTCGAGCCTGGTCAGTAACTAAATGGGTGATCGCTTAGGTGCTGTAAACTTGGATGTGTGGGTGGTGTAATGCATAACTTCTCGGAATTGTAAATCGGAGAGCCGAGTTCCGACACATCACCGAAGTTGAGCAACGTCCAACCTGTTTATTAACTAGATGGGTGATCGCTTAGGAATACCAGGTGCTGTAATCTTGGATGTGCGTGTGGTGCAATGGATAACGGCTCAGAATTGTTAATCTAGTTCCGACACGATCACCGAAGTTGAGCAACGTCCAGCCTGATCAGTACCTAGATGGGTGACCGCTTGGGAATACCAGGTGTTGTAAGCTTGGGTATACGTGTAGTGTAATGTATAACGGCTCAGAATTGTTAATCGAGTTCCGACATGATCACCGAAGTTGAGCAACATCCAGCCTGGTCAGTAACTAGATGGGTGACCGCTTGGGAATGCCAGGTCCTGTAAACTTGGATGTGTGGGTGGTGTAATGGATAACGGCTTGGAATTGTTACTCAGATAACAGAGTTCCAATAGGGTTCGTTATATTCCAGTCAGTTTTTTTATATTCACTTTTAAGCAAATACCCTCGGGAAAGGTATGAATCCGCTTCTCGTGCCCCTAGTTAAATAGTAGAACTTGTTCTAATAAGTTATTATTTTCTCAAAATAATTCTTAGTATCTAAAATAAGAATTATAGATTTAAATAACCGTGGAGATATAGACGTGGAAAACAGATCAATCAATAAAAAAAAATTAAAACTAGATGAGATATCCCTAGACACGGACAGTAGAACGATAATAGTTTACCCCCGTAGAATAAATAAAGGTTTCAGTTCGGAATTCGCTGTAGGTTAACCGGATCGATATACACATATATATAGTCGAAGGGCATAACTACCGAAATATTATGATAACAACAACAAAGATGAGGAGAATAGTCCGAGCGTATAACGTGTCAATAAAGTAGGACGTGTTTGCACTATAATATTACCGAGCAGAGACAACGTTCAATCTAAAACTATTTCGCAGACCACAGATACTCCGTTATGAGGATTGGATAAAATACTTACCCGAATACGCTGGTCGCTTAGAACAGGGTCGCACCTTACATACATATATATATATATATATATATATATATATATATATATATATATATATATTAGAACCTAGGTTCCCGAATTTAATTCATGCCTAAAACCTGTTCGTAACCCGAAATGTTCGTAAACCGAAACTATTTTTCCAATAGGAATCAATGTAAAATGGATTAATTCGTTCCTGGTCTCAAGATGATTGCTTATTTAAACTTTAACAACAGTACTTTGTGACAAGTTTATACACAAAACTAATGAAAATCATTAAATATAAATAAATAAATAAACTCAATACAAAACAGTTACAAAAATAAAGAGGAACACTTCAATTTTACCGTACCTGTATGTAGGAGAGTTGATGGCGTAAGTGAAAGGGGAAGGAAAGGGATGTTATCGTTTGGAAAAGGGAAGGAAAGACATGATGGTCTTTTTATTTATAAGAATAGTAGATTATTGTTTTTACTAAATTGAGTATGAAGAGACAATATCATCAGCAATTGTTTTTTCTCTCAACTTTTCCTTTAACTTTACCAGTATCACTGCTAGATTTCTTTGGATCCATAAATAAGGACTAATAAACAGGAAAAAATGCACAGAACAATAAAATTGGAAAAGAAAAGCACAGCACAACACATGAATTTATACAACATGGCGGTCGACTAAGAAATGATTACATTCGGGTTAACTCGGTCGGCTTGGTTCAGCAATGTTGCTCGAGAACCACAAGTGTGTGTGTGTGTGTGTGTGTGTGTGTGTGTGTGTGTGTGTGTGTGTGTGTGTGTGTATGCAGAAAAATAGGAAAAAATAGGAACACGTCAGGTAAATAATCCGGAGTTTCTTAGTATTTTGTTTTTATTAAGAAGACAGTGCTCCATACAGAAGTAGAGCTTTTTTTTTTAAAATATTATATATATATATATATATATATATATATATATATATCCGATATATATATATATATATATCCGATATATATATATATATATATATATATATATATATATATATATATATATATATATCCGATATATATATATCCGATATATATATATATATATATATATATATATATATATATATATATATATATATATATGTATATCCGATATAGATATATATATATATATATATATATATATATATATTAATACACATAAATTCTCAAGAGGATAGAATCCAGGTAGAACTCAATATCCAGGACAGAGTAAGTATATAATATAAAAGGCTTAAACACTAATATTCCATGGTTATAATTTATTACATCGGAATCGTAATCACGATCCAATTCATCAGACCTACAAATTCAAAAACCTTTTTGAATTTGTAGGTAATAAATTATAACCATGGAATATTAGTGTTTGAGACTGTGCGTGTATTGACGTGTGTGTATGTGTATGTGTGTTTGTGTGTGTGTGAGTGCTGTGTGTGCGCGCGTGTAAGTGCTGACGAGTTCGTAGACTGATTTACTTTCAGAAACAGAATAAGTGAAAAATCATCAGATTTTTAG